GGTGTTCAGTGAGAGCGCTCGTCAGTCAGTGTGCTTTCGTTAGTTTTTGCATTTTAATTTATCATCGTCATGGTAAATTATTGTGTTTGTGGAGATTGCAAAAACTCCTGCCTGTCAGGACTTCAAGATCGAGTCCACAAGTTTCCATTACAATAAAAAGGAACGGTGCTATAGCCTATCTTTCGTTCCTGGTGCGGTTTGAGCAGGTGAAGAGACGGGATTTCTCTTCTCTTCTCTTCTCGGAAAACGCGGTCGTGTGTAGCGTTCACTTCAGATCAAATGATTACATCCTGGCGATATGATGGAGTTCAACATGGTACGCCGAAGCAAGAATATTGATCGCGTCGTATACTACCAATGCATCAAATATTGTTATATAGGTAACTTAGTCATGTTATGCCTCTAAATAGAACTTGTAATTGAAAAACAAAATTGGTTGTTTAAATACTCAAATCTTTAATTTCTGTTTATGTTATAACCTGAAAAAATATGTATTAAAAATGTTACCCGAGTATAACATATGCTTTTAGTATAGAAATATACTCAAGTAAAGATTTATACATTTAATAGTATATAAATCTACCCTAAACATACTCATGTCTGCTGGCCTGTTATAGGATCATAATAATCTGTACAATATTGTGGCACAGTGTATATCGTTAGTGAACTTGTATAATCTATAAGCACATCTCTCACCCAAAAGACACCTGTCCTGTCTCTCCACTGGTTCTCCTCACATCACAGCTCAATTTTTCTCTGACCGTTTTGTCTAACATTATCCTGGCCTGTCCCTGTTCTCTTTAGCATAGCAGGCTCATAACTTTATGGCTTGATCCGTCATACGAGTATTTCCTCAGCGTCCGAAATGATCCATTGTTTTCCTGTTGTGTGAATTGACGGCTCTCCCGCTCATTGCGTCACGCCCACCACGCCCATTTTCAGACGCGAAAGTAAAATTCTCTCACAAAAACGACTTCAGAAGCTTCTGTAACGTGTTTATACGTAATTTTAAAGAAAATCTAAGTTCCTACATTGTTTTTCTATGCATTGACTCGTTGGGTCCTCTAACCTGCAATATGCCCTTTAATGGTTTGTTTCTGTTATGCCCCAAACCACACCTATGAATAATGAAGCTACTTCAGACCAACCCCTTTTAAGCAACAGCGCCCAAGACCCGCCCACAAAGTTA